ATTGAAGACTTTTGATTGAGTCTGCAGGCCCACTTTTATTTTGAAAAATTCTTCTGTCTCCTTCCTTGTGAGGAAAAAGCTCAGTCATAGCTCACTAGTCACTGGTGCACGACTCCAATGTTGATAACCTTTTTTTAGATCACCAAGTGTCTTTAAAAAATGCTGCAGTACATTTGCAGTTACTGACCCGCTACATGCCATTGAAAGATTGAAAGTCATCCGTTTGAGTTCATCACGGTGCGTTGCTCTGAGGAACGTCCTCATTCCAGCCCAATCTCTTCTCTTCCCGCTCCTGACCTCTCAACAAACACACCTCAAACTCGTGACCCTGGCCGCTTTAAGATGGAAAAAAAATGTATGCTGTTGTGATGTTGTTTGTCCACTGCAGATGTAGAAAGTTGTTGTTTGTGCGTTTCAGAACATCCTGAAGAGAACAAAGGAGAGGACGAACGAGGAGCAGACAGCCTCAAAGGCTTTGGCTTCAGTGTCAAAGTAAATGCAGCTCACTCCTCACCCTCCCTGCCGCCTACAAATCCGGATAGTTTTGACTCTCGAGTGCTCCCGTGCCTCAGGAAATTAGACGTCAGCCATTGTTTAGTGAAGGATTTTCTATTGATTGAGCTCTGCAGTGACAGTGATTCATATCTCTGAGGACAAAGGCAGAGTGAGCTCATACAGGGAGATATTTGAGGTTTTTGTTAAAGGAATGAACCCAATACTCTCAATGAGACAGTTTTATAACCCCTGCTGAGGGAACACAACGAGGTTCTACATTAATCTTTCTTCTCTGTCTTCTGATCCTCACAGATCATTAATGAGTGTAACACGCAGGTTGAAAGATGAGACAGATGGAGGAGCTGATCCACGTCTCTCAAACACTGGAGTTTGACAAGCTCAGGTAAATAAAGAATATCACTATTCAATAATCAATCGGTCTTTTATTTGGACAAGGAAAGAAATGTTCATTCGCCTCTGTTTGTTTCCTCCAGGCCGTCCCGATCATCTCCCAGACTCGTTATTTGGAGAAAAAGGGAGAGCTGCAGGAAATGTCCAAAGGAGGACTCTTTTCAACATGAGGGCAAAGTTCACGCCCATCTACCTCTACCTCTTCAATGATCTACTCATCATCACCCCAAGAAAGGGTGAGATGAACGGATCGATTTTCAACGCCTTCACCGGAAAAAAAACTCATATTTGACATCCTGTCATTGGATCAAACAAAAAACCCTGATTTGCTTTGAGACAAACACACATTTTGATGTAACATGACGGGCTGTGGCGCTGTTGTCAAACGGAAGGTTGAGGGTTCAATCCCCAGCTCCAGCATGTCCGATGTGTCCTTGGGCAAGACACTTAACCCCGAATTGCTCCCGCTGCTTTGTCTGTTGTGTATTAATGGGATTAGTTACTTCTGATGTCTCACTCTGCCATCAGTGTGAATGTGTAGGTTTTACCTGCAGTGTAAAAGCACTTTGAGTAGTCAGAAGACTAGAAGACAAGCGCTTTAAAGCTCATGTCCATTACCATGACATATTTATTTCATTTCCTCAAGTTCCCTTGATGCTTTAGGGATAGAAATGTTGTCTACCACTTACTTGGTTTACCACAGGAAGATTGACATGAAAATTTGTAGACAATAGTTGCTCGCTTGGTTGCAGCTTTCACTCCACTGAGCAGGAGTTGGTTGGCTTGACATGTGGAGACAGCTTGTACGCGACCCAAAAACCTGTCTGCCTCATGTGGTATGTGACCATTCCATTAGCTGGAAGGTTTAGGGTGAGAGATAATAACAAAATAACTCCAAAACACACCAGAAGCCAGAAACGATGGACAAACCTATATGCTAGAGAAACGTTGACAACAGAAAGACAGACTCCAGTCCTTGCAGAGGAGGGTTCCTCACCTAGCAGAAATCTTCACATCACCAAGAGGTTTAACGCAGTCTTTATGCTAAGCTAGGCTGTTTTCCTGCTTATTAGCGTGCTTAACATAAACTAAGACGCACATAGTTTAAATCTTAGCTGTATGTTCAGGTCTGTGTCCATAGTTTGAACAGTTAACCTTCTAAAACATCAGCACTCTTTCAATGTAAACATGCTAATTAAGCTAGGCTAAACTACAACAGATATATTCAACCTTAAATATATGTTGTTTTATTTATTTCTATGGCTCAAACTGTTTACCTACTTTACACTATCAGTGTTTAAATGTAAAAATAATCTCGGCTAAAAGAAGAAAAACAAAGTTTCAACTTGAGATGTATCGATACTACCTCTCTCTATGGTACTGCACAGTTAGCTGTTAGAATAAAAACCTCACAGTTAACTAGCATGACTGTAAACGTCTAATAACCTAGAGCTTAAATGTTTACATATCTCTTGAACTCGGTCACTTCCGTCACAATACCCTACATATTATCAACAGTACAACCAGCATATCTGACAGGACAGTGCTGTTAAACACTTATCAAGCAGCTGCTGGGAAACAACACATACAAACCCGCTACTCTGGAGTTACTCTTCAAACTCAGGTTATGTATTTCCTTCAGGAATATCTTTTCAGAGGTATGTGCTGCACTTCTCTTTCAAGCTCATTGCATGGCCAGGTGGCAAATGAGTTTCCCCGCCGGGGGTTATTATAATTCTCTCTAATCTAATCTGTATCATAAAAATATGGTTTGACTTTAACCCTGTCAACAACAATGGTATTCACACAGGACAGGATGACCCGGGATTCATTGAGCAGGATGCTTTACATTTAGGCTGTAAAAGTGAGATTCAGTCAGCGTAATTTCAGGTTCTGTATTTTTGATAAACTGTCAGAATATATCTTTAGCACTGAATAGAGACACAACACAATAATGATACTTCCACTATGTCACCATTTGGAAATAACTCCATCTCTTCCTCAAATGTTACAGAAAGAAGCTTAAAAACTAAAATTAAAATAATGTTTTGTTTTGTTATTGCCACATGGAAATAAAAAAAAAACACTACAGTTCTGATATATAAATAAACAAGGTCATCAAGAAACTACTAAAGATAATTAGATCATCATTTTGGATATATGCATTAAAAAAATGATTTTTGTTGTTGAACAGAGCAGAGCGGTTTTTGTGCTCGACCACGCCCACCGCTCTCTGGTGCAGGTGCAGCCATTAGATGAAGGCGGGAGTGGCGGCAGCCCTCTTGAGCACTGCTTCAACCTCACGCTGCTGGAAAACCACCAGGGGCGCATAATGGAGAGGCTGATCAAAGCTCCATCTCAGTGAGTACCTCTACAATTACAACAACAACAAAAAAAATCCTAAAACATTGCACAAGTTTCCTTCAGGATTTGTCTCTCTTTTTTTTTTTCTATAATCCAAATGTCAGCTGCTCAAAAACAATTCAAAAAATGCCCTCGTCCTAACAACAAGAATTTTAACAAGCTGTTTGTGTGAACAGGTCAGACATGCACAGGTGGATGGCTGCGTTTCCAAATCCCATCAACCCTGACGGAGACGACGATGAAGTGATTTACGAGGACTGGGGTTAGAACAACACACACACACACACACACAAACACACAAAGTGACACTACTGCATGTGGTTGTGTGTGTTTCATAACTGAGAAGTTTCTCACCGTTATGTACGCGTGTGTGTGTCAGATTGTCCACAGGTGCAGTGTGTGGAGCCGTACATCGCCCAGCAGGCAGACGAGCTCACCCTGGAGCCCACTGAGATCATCAACATCATCCGTAAAACGAACGAGGGTAAGGAAGGGGAGGGAACCAAAGTATTACATATTAATATTATTATTATAAAGACTCAAACTGGAGTTAGAATGTAAATTATGCCACGAAAAGATGATCCTTCACAAGACAAACACTTTTTACAAGTCATGATATAAAGTTGTGTAAAATTAGATTTTCTACCGACTAAAACAGATTTCCTTTAATAAAAAACAAAAAAGTCTAATATCCTGACGTGACTGTGTGTAATTAACACGGCCCCCTTCTTTGACCCTGCCTGTTTATAAACCCTGATCCTCATGACTGCCTCATCCTCCACCCTCCACTTTAGCAGTTTATTAGTTTCTTATGACTCGTCTTGCATGATCGAAACAGAACAAGAAAAAAAAAACCCTCCAATATTCCCCTGTTTGTTCTCCTCCCGCGCCCCTGCCCCTCCTCCTATTTCCTCTTCTTTCTCTCAGGCTGTTACGAAGGCATCCGCCTGTCGGACGGTCAGAAGGGCTGGTTCCCCTCAGGAAACGTCATAGAGATCACCAACGAGCACGTGAGGCGGAGAAACCTGCGAGAGCGCTACAGGGTCATGCAGGCGGCAAGCATGGTCACCATCAGCAAGGCCAACACCAGCAGTTAGGGTTTAGATTTGTCAAAGAAGTGAGCTGTGTATGTAGAGTATTCAGGGAATTTTAAAGGTATTGTTCTTACAAGCAGGAAGTGAAAGAAGACTGATGCTCATGAGACAGCATACCAGATCTACAATCATCCCCCTATCTATTGTATACTAAAGGAGCACTTACTGCAAGCTGCTGGGCGTGTGGTAGATCATTTACTGACACTTATGTGCATGTGTGCATTCAAAAACAAAGATCAGCGTCCTGCAGCACTACAGCTGCAGAGTCGAGCTCTTCTTTAGAGCATGCAGTCGTGCATTAACGTCAATCACTTTTTTAAAATGCTGATCTTTTTATCTGCTGCTCGGCAAAGATTGTAGACACTTCAGATCTACAGCCAAGAAAAAGATCTTGATGTTCCCGTACTGTACCTCCTCTTATATCATAGTCGTCACATGTGCACACACACACACCCGTTAAAATCTTCTCGTCCCTGCCATGAACAGGCTGTCGTGTGTCGTCAAGGAGACGAGAGCACAGGATGCAACACGTTTGATGCCACAGTTGTAAAAACAAAACACACCTTGACTGAAATACAAGTGTTGAACGAGACGAATCTAATCAGGAAGTGCCTTTGAATCGACTCAGAACGCAGAACAAATATTTAAGACTTCCGGTACGATCACATAGAGGATTTTAAAATGCATGTCAATGTGAGCTAGACTGTACTGCCATTACAGTTTTGTGCTGTCCACTAGCTCGTTAGCTTGTGCCATTGTAGTTTAATACTGTAGCGCCCCCTGCTGCTTGTTGTCATGGAAGCTGGGTAATCTTATGTGGAAATGTATAAAGTGTTGTAAATAATGTGTAGGGGATTCTCTCCTTCAAAACAGTTGTGGTGCTTTTAATAAAAAAAAATGACACTTTTTAACTCAGTTTTGTATTCTTTTTATTGAACAACAATACAAACATGTGCAATAAAGGGGACTTTTCATGAGGGATCTATAAACCTTGAAAAATAAAACGTTTTTGGGGTCTATTTGGGTTCAACTTTCAAAGCAACCAGTGCAAATGACCTTTAACTTGTTTCCATAATAACAGAAATAGGTAGTTAAGACCCTTAAGAACAAACTCGGGGACAAGAAAACCCACCGGTAAAAGACTTATCATTGCATCAAAACTGCCATGTCTGCAAGGCTCAAGAGAACGTGCACAGCATCTCCCTCGGACTCTGAGAGCTTCCGCTGCTTCACCTCTGAGAAATCTCCAGAGATGCTCGACTTGCTCTCTGACAAATAATCCCCGTAGCTTGGTTCTCCATCTTCCCTGTCACAAAAACGAATGTTATGTGAGGTAGAATAAGGAGTTATTAATGCAGGCAAGGTCCCTGATCCCTTAAGGAGGTCTGGTACAGGATCTGGATGTTTTTTAGCACTTTGGTTCTGGTTCCACATTTTGTCCATCAAGCTAAAGCCACTCAAGAGGGTGTTAGCTGCCTCGATCTCAGTGTCTGACCAACATCTCCCCTCACGTCCCGACAAACTGGCCTTACTCGGATGCAAGCGCTGCGAGGCCTCCTCAGCTAAAGTGGACTCCAAAGGTCCTGCATGGAACAGGGTTGTCTCCTCATTGCGTGCAGGCTCTTCTTGGTGGTGCAGTTTCAGGAGGTTGGTGACAGCCTGGTCCTCCTCCTGGGTCAGCTGGAGGACGAGCCGGTTCGGCTGCACTGCAGGGTGAAGGATGTTTATTTTCAAGGTGAGGCTGCCGAGCTCCATGGTGGGGTGAGGTCTAGATCTAAAAGGGTCGGGGCAGGCTGGCGGGGTCGGGCAGGTGGACATGACTGGTGGTGGAGTGTTGAGCTGGAAGCCGTCAAAGACCTGTGGAGAAAATGAGTCTTCATTTTCTATACAGCTCTTGGTCACTGTTTATGTTTTGTTTTCCATTAACTGTTCTTAATCTTATGTGCTTTTAAAAACACAATCATCACATGTTTCTTGTGTTTCATGAAAAAGCCACATAACTGACCTTACAGAAGGTCTTTATAGTCAAAACAAACTGTCTCCTCCTCTCCTCCTCAGGTCTTAATTTCCTCTCAGCCCCCTGGTGGGTGTCTTAGCTCTGTCTGAAAGGACTGAGTCGATCTTATTAAAATGTTCTCGTCTGACTGTGACCCTAAATAAGCTCTTAACCCACCTCCACTAAAAGAGAACAGAGGACACCTGCAGACGGACCCCTAGCCTTACCTCAACCAGAGCCCAATGCATTATCGCAACCTGGAGTACTTTAACAAGCGTTTCATTTGAGAATTCAAAGTCTAATAATTCAAATTAATGTATCAGTTGATGTTTTTCTGCATTGACAACATCGCATTAAATTTTTTTAAATCCCATTTTTATTAATGTGTGGTCCCCACTTGGTGTATTGAAGCCCTACAAACCTGTCTAATCATGATTTAAAAAAAAAAGCTTCAATTCTGTTTCTATTAACTATTCCCCATTTCTGCAATAATTAAACCATATTGAATATTTGCATTGGTGACATAACAATTTCTAACAAAAACTCATAACACATTCCCTTCAAGAAAACATCTAAAATGAAATCTCAATGATCAGTGTTAAAATATTTGGCTACTTTAAAGATGAATGGTTTGGATGCTGTGCGTCAATACAGAATATGATTGGGGGGGAACAATGTTAGTCTGTACAGTAAACTGACATCTAACTGGACTGGACATGAGGTGAATAAACAAAACTATTACATTTTGTAAAGGCGAAAAAGGATCCAAGGTCATCTGAAAAACTAACAAATGTTTATTGTGTCTAAGAAGTTATTTGCAGCAGCTAATGGAGGCACTGATTTATAATTCATGATCCAAAAATATATATAAAAATAATTCTAAAATGACACAAAAGAAAATAGCTTGAAGTCTATGAAAGTGGGGTGTTTTGTATTGTTTGGCTAGATTTCAATGTTTTGGGGGTAATGAATAGGTTAATTGTGAAACACATTTTAGATGTGGGTTTTTTTTTAAGTCCACTTACCCTCAACTCACTCACTAAGTTGGGGATCCTCCTCCCACAGGTCATGGTGGGGTCAGTGTAGAAGAAGTCTGCAGGGGTGATGATGGGATGAGCTGGAGAGAAGAAGTTATCAGTGAGGCTTCACAGATGGATAAAGCTCTGAAACAGATGTGGGCATCTAAAACAGGCTCACCTGTTTGGTTGCGGCAGTCTGAAAAGCCTGACACCATGTAGAGAGACTGGAGGGAGGGGTGGTGCAGGGTCCTGCTGGAGAGAGGGGGCAGGGTTGGCTGCCTGGACCTCTGCTTGAGCACAAACATCCAAGATATGGAAGTGCACAGAACCACATGATCCGCTTTGTTTACAACTTTTGCCTTTAAGTAAGCCAGCGATGGTGGATAGAAAACAAATTATGAAGAAAACTCACGTTACAGTGTCCTTTGGTGTGACTCATGTTAACTTTCCAGCTCCGTTTCGTAGCTTGTGGGTTGTTTAACCGAGTAAGCAGTCGACTATTTAATTGATTTTGTAGAACGAGTAAAAAAAAAAAAAAAAAAACATTCTTGGTTATTTCTCTGCGAGCAGTGAATTAGCGCCCCCTACTGGTTGACTGAAGAAACCCCGTATAGTCACCTTTTATGACTTCAAGCCAATTAGAATGTGGTTTTGGTGTAATAATATCAGCCATGATTAAAAACAATTACTATTAACTCCAATGTTCATGACCTGCTTCTGTTATCTAAAGTAGAAGAGGATTTGGACTTCAACAGGTAAAAAGGAGTTGACAATGTTGATTGGTTCAATGTGACCCGGTACTAGAAGGGTATTTTATGTACTTGACCATTTCCATAATCCTACTGCAATTTAAGAATGTAGCACTTCAGATTTATCTTTTCCCTCTTGTGGTTAATGTAATAATATACTCCAACTTCACCAGTTGAAACAGTGGGATACATGTAAAGGAAGCAATAGTTTACTTTTTTCTCAAATGTTCTAAACTGTGTAATGGTTTCTTTTGGCAATATATTTTGTGGCAAATACTTTTATATAATTGTATCTTGTCATTTTCCTCAGTAAAACCTCTTCATTCTAACTGCACAACTGAAGAGATAATATTAAAGGACACAAATGAATTACAAAAAAAAAAAAAAAAAAAAAACTACCGTTAGGTTTATGCATTCATGTAAATTAATGTTTTTTAAAGTAGCAACAGATCATATTTAAGATTTGCTTTCCCATGTTAACCAAAGTAGATTTTCCCCACCCCTCATTTATATTAAAAAAAAAAAAAAAAGGATGGGGGAACCTATATTATAGACAGAATAGACAAGTGCAAACATTTTGAGAAATCACTTTATTGAATTTCACAGATTTTTAAAAATGTTTTTACTCCTTTCAAATCTGAGCAGCATCAAGATTGTCCTACTGCATCTGTGAAGACAAAACATGTTTTTAATTCTGAGCTCTTACCTAAAAATCCAGAGTTTGAAGTTCAAGTTTCTCACCTTTTCTGAGGATGTTCTCAAGATTGTGAAACATTGAAACCATAACATATCGAGCAGGAGGGTGGAAAGCAGGAACCTGTGAGGGAGGTGGTCTTCTGGTAGGAGGTATGGTGACAAGTGCTGTAGTTGGTCGTTTAGTGGGACTCAGAAGAACTACAGTGGTGGGGGGGGGGGGAAGAGATCAGAAATGCGCAAAATCATAGTGAATATGATTGACAAATTATCCTCTACTGTACCTGAGGCAACCTGTGTGGTGTGAATGATGCTGCCGACACCCTCACTGTCAGACTCAAATCTGTAGACTGTGAAGAGGCGACGCAGACCAGCCAGAGGATATGTGCACTGGATCAGCACCCTGCAAGACGACATGAAAAATAAAAAGTAGAAGAAAAGAAGCTGATTTGGCAAATTAGTCAATACAGACCTCTCTGTGACATTAGCAGAAGCTGCTTTGTTCATGTTGAGTTTCTTCGGGGAGTAGGAAATCTCATTCTGATAGGTCACGTTATCCCTGCCAAGCTGAAGGGGAAAAACAAGAAAACAATGTGAGGCCAAATACAGACAAGTTTAAAGTTTCATGTGGAAGGATGTTTCAGGATGAGAAAGCAGCAGTACCTCAACTCTGGTTCCACAGCCATTAAGTGGGAAAGAGAAAAGAGCCCTGGTGTCGTCAGTCTCTTTGGGTCCACAGTATTTGTCGATGGCGTTTGTTCTTGCAGGAACTCCTCCACTCGGGATGGCCAGAGACAAGTCAGCCACCACAGTCATCCTCCCATCAGTTGAACACACTGCAGAAAGATGTTTTAGCACTTTATTCAAAACCAAGCAGGCTCTTAAAGTGAATTATAATATGTTCTTACAAATAAATTCAGTGGTAGTGAAGGGACAAGTCTTGACAGTGGAGCTCTGGACTTCAGAAGTTTTACGATCCCTCACCAGGATCTCAAAAGTGCCAAAAAAACCCTTCAGAGTAAGATCCTGTAAAACAAAGGCAGATTAGCAACTGATCCACAAGTCAACAAGAGTAGTTTCAAATTAGTCATATTCTTCAGCTTACCTTGTATTCATAACCGTGAGCATAGAGCGGCACCTCGAGCAGGAGACTCTGGCTGTTATTGCTCATGATGTAGCCGTGCTGGGCCGCCAGCTCTGATGTCAGCGGGTCCGAGCCGATGGTGATCTCCCACAGGTAGTCATAAGGCCGGTGGTCCAGTTTGAAGCTGATCCCAGACTCAGAACAGACGGCGTCAGAGACTGGAGGAGCTGTGAAGTGAAAGTCAATACATTCGTTTAGCGCCAAAACAAAGAAGTGTATATTTCCTATACAAGTTTTCCAAATGCAAGAACTTACAGACGTCAGTGAAAGTTGCCTCAATAGATGCAAGGTGGTAGAAAGTGTTATTTTCAGGCAGCACAGACAGTGTGTAGTTGATGTCCAGTCTGTACTGAAGAACTGCATCTTCTCTAGAGAACTAAGAGGAAAAAACATGACTGAGGTCAGACAGCAATGTCATGGTGCAAAAGTTTCTAAGTACAGTCATTCTTTAAAAAAAAAAAGACCTTTTACCTGCCGTGTGACAACAGGGTCATCAAAAGGCACCTTCAGAGTGTAGCCATGAGTGTTGTTCGGATGAAAAACTTTTGTAATCGTGTGGCCGCTTAGATTGGAAAATGGTACGGTAAATTCTTCGCCGTTCAAGTGAACCGCCACCAACGCGACGTCTTCAGGGAGTTCTCCGAGGTAGACTGTGAAGGTGAGCTCCTCGAGAAGCGTTTGGTTTTCAGTGACAACAGGGCGTGGCAGTAGGGGAGTGGACAGTGTCCTGAAGAACCTGAGTCTGGTCTCCACAAGATCCTCATCCACCAGGGTTTGCTCCAAGTACAGATGGAAGATGTAGAACTCATGAAGCTCTTCAGAAACAAAGCTCTGTAATAGACAAATGCAGATTATGTGCACTCTTCAATGTTATTCTGCAGCTAGCAGTGCACTATGTACACTTTTTGGCCCCACATTAAACAATTCTCAGTGTATCAGAAGAATCTTTCAAACAACATCCAGGGTCTGCTGTTGATTAAGTTCAAACCCATTGGCCCATTTAAGAATATCTTTGAGTCATTTAATCAAACCTAGTTCTCCATTTAGAGAAATCTTCTCGTTTTGCATCTCCTGACCTTTCTGTGTACTCCTTCAGCATCGTGGGGGATTCTGATCTGCATTGTGTTGTTGTGCTTCTCCACAACATAGCCCCTCTCCTCTGAAACCGAACTCTCAACAAGATCACCATTTAGTCCAATATTGAGCTGTGTGCTCTCAGTACTTGGGTACAGCACCTCTGAGGACTTCCATATTATGTAGCCACGGTCATATGAGCCATCATCTGTTGGGAGAGACGATGTTTCAGCTTGACACTGAAAATTTAAGTGAATGGCAACAGAACGGATTGATATACTAACGCATGGAGCACGCCGCCACCAGGTCAACCATGAGGACGACCCAGCTTTGTCTGGAGAATATAGTTGCATGGACGACCTCTACTGGAACACCATTCACCTGTGAGAGACTCAGAATAAAACCCCTCTTCATCGAATCTTTGAAATACAAAACAAAGAAAAAAAGTGCATCAGGGGATTACCTCCGTGCTGAATGCGTCAGGTTGTCCATATGGCGTACGAAATACAAGCCTTCCATATGTCAAGTCAAACACGTAGCCATGCGTACGAGCTTCAAAGAGGTTCATGGGAGGGCTTTGCTCATTCTCTGTGTGAAACATCACCTGCCAGTCTGAGGAGGTGGTGCTGTGAGCCTGCAAAGATAAATAGGGACTTTGAAATGTGGTGCTTGATAGTGCAGCATGTATAGATTTATCAAAACATTTAAAGCATACATGTTTGAGAGCATCCCAGTTATCCTTCATCGTCCCGGATGGGCAGCTGACTTCACTCCTCACAGAAACCTGCAGAGCAGTCATAAATATTGTATCACTTTCCCCATTAATTTGAGTAGTACTCTTTAGGTGCAAGAAGGCTCACCTCCATGTAGTTGAGCTCACACGTAACCTCTCTGGGAGACCAGGGGAGGGAGGGAGAACAGGTCTTGGTCAAGGCGTAGGTGACCGCTTGTCCCTCTTGGGTTGAAATCAGGTTGAAATTGAATGTGAACGCCTCATCATCCTGAAAAGCAAAGTGAAGATGTGATGGGGAGCCACACCTACTCACTATGGGGAGGTTAGGGTTCATGTAGTTTTAATAATTGTTTAGTTTTAATTTTTCCATTTACTGTGTTGCGAGTGTAACAGCTGAAGTACGAGGCTCTGAGCACCACACGGTCTCCTAGAGGGAGGACAGTGTAGCCACACTCTGCGGAGTATGTCTCGTTGAGCAAGTACACACCTGATTCATCTGCAAGAGATAATACAGCAGAAATGCATTTTAATCCCTCTACATGTCAGTTCTGAGACCACAGGTGATTAAGTAGATTAGATGCTTCATTGAAGGGTACATAACTTACATATTGAAAGAAAAACATGCTTAGAAAGCGTCGTTCCCAAGAAAACAAAATAACCAGGCTGTGCTTTAAGATACTTTTCAACCAAAACCATCAACTTGACAAGATTAATCTGAAGCACTAACCAACAGCCTCAAAGTGAGGTTCCTCCCCAATGAAGGAGAGATCAACAGCTATCATGAAGTAACGATCATGACACTCCATATGAAGAACTCCTGCGTGAAAACAAGTTTATTTTTAAGTTACTGTAAATAATAAATTGATATCTCCTCATACAGGTCAATGGTCCAATATTTCAATTACCATTGGGAATGTCTTCACATTGTGCAGATGACCACACAGAGAGGAAAAAGGCCAGTCTGTAAGACAAAAAGGAAATTGCTTGCATTAAAATGTCAAGAAGTAAAACTAAACAGCTTGTAAATAACCACTAAAACCAATTACCTGAGACAAAACCCAAGATCCATAGCCACTGATGTGTAGGCAGTGTCTAAAGCTAGCTTAAATTGCTAGCAAACTACACCTGCTAACACAAAAACAAGCCAAAGTGAACTCCTTGCTTGGTGAATCCTGGCAAAACTGGAACCACGACGTGTTGAGGCCTGCATGCATCAGCTTTTATGGTCTTTTTTT